CCTAGCCTGAGGCTGCACAAGCTTTTCCAGTTCAAGTCCAATCTAGCGGAAGGCAAAGCCGGTGACGAACAGCGAGACTACATGCGCAACGCGGGTAGTACTATGTCAAGGATCTTCGGCGGCATCAAGGGCGCGTTGGGAAACCTGCAGCATGTGAACTCTGTGGGACCAAAGGCACTGAATGGTGGTGAGGTGGTTTTATCAGCTGGTAAGTAGTCAGATGTTGACCGTCCTTTCGCGATCGCACTGCTAACGAAAGGCATTTGTAGATGGCGAATGCCAGTACATGTACCGCATGCAAAACACGGTTGATCACACCAACATCTCAGAGTTGGCGAAGCTGATTGGAGCTGAATATACCCCAGTGAGCGGCGAAGAGGGCAAAGAGCAGACTGGCAATAGCCCAGCGTCATAGTTCTCCACAGTCCACATGTGCGCGGCGTATCCAGACCTTGCTTTAGCCGAAATCTCACAAAGTCCAACTCGTTTTCTGATCATTTGATGTGTTCGTGAGGACCGTTGTACCGCACGAATCTGTTGACCTCATGGGTAAGCTAACTATCCACGTAGCACAGCTAAGGTCTCTTCAGTGTTCTTGGGCGTGAGCCATCCATGCTCAAATCGCTCCTGAGCATCAAAGTATACGAGTCGCATCTTATCCTCCTCGATTAGCCATTCCAAAGCCTCAAGCGGGGTTTCACCCGCATCATTCCTCGCATGACGCAGTTCAGGCCAGCGGGCAACCATACAAGCTGCACTTTGGTACATCCCACTGAGAGCAACAATGTGCAGGAGATTGCCACCTGAAGAGTGTAGGACAACCCCAGAGATCTCCTCTGCGCTCATCTCACTATATTTAGTATCCAGCTTTTCGCAGAACAAGTGGTCTGGAGAGGCAAGTGCGTCGACGACAATGTTCATAAAGTCCTCCGTACCTTTGGATGGCTGTAAAGGCGAAGGATCGAAATCATCTGCTGCGGGTAGGCGATGGCACGGATGACTGGCGTGGCTCGACAAGGCGAAGAATTTCGTGTTGCCCACACGCCGGAATCCTAGATCGCGAAATCGTTGTTCTTGATCATCGTGAAAGGTGCAAGGAGTCGACCCCTTTGCAGTGCTTTCCCATGAATTGACAAACGCATACACAGGCTTCTTGAAATGATCTGAGAATCCTTCTAGTACATTTCGCATGATGCGTGCGCTCCCACCGTGGCATCGAGCGGCATGATTTGTCGTGGTACCGTTGAGTAGAAGGAGAAGACCAGTGTCTAGCTCCGATCCCCAGATGCCAGACCCTTTCTTGACGATGTGCTCTTTGTATTCCTCTCTGAAGTGACCGTGGCGATCGAATAGCTTGAAGCCGAGGTTTTTGATCGGGTCCGGGGTGGCGAAATGATTCATCTGGCGATAAAAGTCGGACATTTGAGTGCGGTCGATGAGATACCCAGGGTAGAGGTCGAAGTCAACACTCGCTGCCCCGTTACGAATGAACTTTAACCAATTTTCTTCTACTACTAAAGATGGTGTTAGCCAGTGCTTGTATCGATGTTCGGTGGTGTTAGACAGTGGTTTGTGATTAAAGCTCGTAGATTACGAGAAAATCCCAACACCAAATCGTCAACAACGTTTTCAACGAAAGATTCTGATATTCTAATTTTGGGCAGAAACACAGTTCCATTCCGCGTAGAACAGTTATAAACATGATCTAACCATGGATGCAGCCCTTACACTTCCTTCCCCGCGTTCCTACGTGTCGTGGTTGCTCCACGTCGTCGCTGCAAAGGTTGAAAGAGCGAACTTACCGATGACATCGTATCCAGCGCAGGACGTAACTGGATGAGAATTGGAGTAGTTATGAGTCATTTCGCACAATCAGCTTCGTCAGATAGCGAAGTATCGAGGTTTTCAGACGGTGGTTGGGCAAGAGGTTGGAGTGAAGGAGTAGGGTGAAGAAAGAGGCAGCGTCGGGAGAAGAAGCAGGTAAACCCTTATCGACCCCGCACAAATGAGCTTAACTAACAGCGTCTAGATCCATACTGCGACGTGTCAATCTCGGCACTTCTGCGCGCTCAGTCAGGCCATGAGTGACGCTTCAGCGGCACGGCGTCAAGCAAGATTAGACCTGGAGTCGGTCCACACAAGACTCCGGCGAACGAAGATGTGATCGATTGTTCGGAACCTTTCTTGGCCCACGAAAGCCTGCGTTGGGGAACAAGCTGTCTCTTTTACCTCCCGGTTCACCACCAACGAGCAGCCAAGACCGGCCCGCCACCGACCGTAACCACAACGAGTCTACGGCTAGCATGTAAGTCAAGTTTACCAATCAATCAACTCGAGCAGTAGTACACTTCTGCATGTATTACATCGTGACGATAATGCCAAATGACTTTCGTGCAAACGTCCCGGACAGAGGATTTGACGGAAGACTTGACGAGATCTCAACAGTGTGCACATCACAAGAACAAGTGAGAGCTGTATGAAATTTATTGAAACAAAATACATTGACAAATTCATGGGTATATCTCTATCTAACATATCAGTAATCTATAGGAAATCATTACTCCAGTTGCACATCTATATCTCCAGCCCACCAGCAAACGGATCTCTCGCATCACTCCTCATCTTCGCAACCTCTTCATGCTCCCTCCTCAACGCCCTCCAATCAAACTTCTCAAACGCAAAACTCCACGTCTTCTCCGCCACACTCAACATCCACTTGCTCATTGGGCCAACATCGTCACCATGGAAGCTCTTCCTTCCCACATGCTGGACCAGACTGGGTGTGACTGCATATCTCAGCTCGTTGCGTTCGTTGGCAAAGTCCTCTGTTATGACGTCCATATATCCTAGATGGCGTTCTTTGAAGTATTCGACGAGTTCGCCGGCTTTGACGTTGGGGAAGACGAAGGCTTGACTGCAGCAGGCGAAGCGCGGCATCTCGTGGACGCCGACGGCCATGGGCTGGACGGTGATGCGGCCGAGGCCGAAGTATATGAGAATGAGGAGGGCGAGCGTGGTGTACATGGCGAAGAAGGTGCGGCGGGTCATGAGGGCGAGGGTGAGTTTGGTGGTGGGTTGTGCGAAGCGGAGGAAGAGGATGATGACCGTGGGTACGAGGGCCACGTAGACTGAGTTCTTCAAGTACGTCTTCCACTCCTCGGCGTTCCAGCCGAGAAACTCTTCGGTGTAGAAGAGGCGTAGGTAGAGGAAGTCGGGTTTCGCGCGCTGTAACGCGGCTTGTTGCTCGGCTTCGTGGATGGCGCCAAGGGTACGGTGGTACCAGCCGTCCATGGCTACGGTGTCGTCTTCGAAAAGAGCAACATAGGGTGTATATTGTTCCGTACACTTGTTCAAGAGGTATTGATAGTCGAACAGACCCTTCTCGATATAGTTGTTTCGTGCCTCCATTATCCGAATGTACTGCATGCGGTCGTAGCCGTATCCGTACGTCAGCACCTCATCGGCGAGACCAGATAGCCACTCCTCGTTGTACGCAGGGTGAGCCCCGGGGTTCGAGTGGGGTATGAAGACGATGAGGTATATCTCCTGTCGCTCCTCAGGCGTGAGGCCTTCCAGTAACGAGCCCACAGCATCTGGCAGATACTGAGCACCATCGCGCTGGTATGAAGATATGCCCACACATAGTTTCCGCTGCTTCTCGGGGCCGGCCTTAGTTACGTTCGCGGGGTTGTAGGACTCGACGAAGGTCTCGGCTTGCTGGCGTCGGACGGCGGAATAGCGGGGAGCATAGCCTTTGCGCGGGTTGAAGAAGATGGAGGTAGGATCGCGTGCGGATATCGAGTTGATAGTGTAGAAGAAGCTAACAGCGACGAAGACGGCGATGCCTATGACCAGGCGGGAAGGCGAGAAATGCATAATGTGCGACTAGACTAGTAAACGAGTGTGAAATGTTCCAAGAGTATTATCGCATCGCTAATCGAAGGGTGGAAGTGGAAACGAAAGCAACGCCGGGAGGCAGGTCATGTCATCGTCAGTGGCAGTGTCGTGGTTGACAAACAAGAAAAGGTGGAGGGAGAAAAAAAGATAGGAGCGACGACGCGCGCTCAAGATGAGGCGGGCTTGAGTGGCCTCAGCTGAGCTCCACCAAAACGGCGGATCTTGCCTTACGAGGATCTGCCGTGGCTGACCAGTAACCCGTAACCCAGGAAGATAAAATTAGCAGACCAGCATGCGCGTGGGTCGGTGCTTGGTACTCAGGGCGATGACGGGGCGCGCAAGATTGCCATGCCTGTAGTCGCGATCACGAGAAATGAAGCCCATTAATGCCCGGTCAATAGGGGGAATCCGTGATCAAAAAGTATGGAAGATTCCATGCCAATCGGTGGTTTCGGCGGTATCAGCGAATGAGGCCGTGAGCGACAACCACGGTGTCAGCTTATGCTCTTCGTCTGAGGATAGGAGAAGGGGAGAGTTAAAAGGGTGAGGAGCGACGTTCTGGACAGAACTATGTGCTTCCCGCGTGTTTAGCGTGACTGTTGACAGTGACAGCGACGTGACAGACGGTTGCGACTCCGCCTCCCCCTTGCCAACGTTGGAGAAATTTGGCTTCACCATACCGTTGGTTCACGATATTCACGATTAGATTGCCGATGGTCTATATGATCGCTCGGTTCCTTCCCACTTTCTAGCATACGGGACGAACAATCCTTCCGACAGTTGACGGGTCAAAATCAATAGTCGCTCTAACACGTGCGCAGGCGTGTTGGCGCGCGCCACAACCGAAGTGGCGCGATGACGAGCTCCGGAACATGGCCGCATCTGATGCGATGCAGCGCATTGAGTCACCATCCCATCGTCGCTGCTTTGTGAACATTCTTCCAGGGCTTGTAGCACTCAGCCCTTTCTTTGATCCAGTCATAGCCGTTTGACTCACCAGCCTTGATCCCCGCTTACCCTCGAGTCACTCATATAGCGTACCAGTGCCAGCACCAGGTAGCTTCCGGCTCCACGCGCAGCAGCAGCAACCGTCGCTCGGTGCCATGCCCAAGAAGCACGCACCCTCGTATACAACAGCAAAACCGTCCTACGTTCACCCCTCGCTGCAGAGTTCACGCTCCCCCGCATCCTCATCCTCGGCGTCTGAACCCCAAACCGTCAATCAGCGCATCCAGCAGCTGCGTCGCGAACAAGCTCCGAGAGCAACGCCCGAACAGCGCGATGAGCTCACTTCGGTAGTAAGCAGTCGTACCGTCCCGCCAGAACTGCGGCGCATCCTGCACATACCCGAAGTTAATGCTCCCAAACCAAAGGCGAACACAAGGACGCGGAGGGTCATGGGTGGCGTGAGACCCCCACCAGGCCCCGCGGCACCTACAAGCTGGTTGCAGGCGAGTCGGCATGCGCCAGCATATATGAGGAAGAAGAAGGCTGAGTCGGAAAAGGGCGCCGTGAGGTTTGCCACGCTGGCCAGAGTCACAAACGAGGAATTAAAGGTATGATGCTCCCCAGAGCGTCACCCCGGTCAAAGGGAAATCTGGACATACCCGGGAGCCTACATCAACGTTGGATCGTCTACTTAGCATGCTTTCATCTTGCTGAAGGCACCCGGATGTCCAATTGTTCTCTTGACCGAGGTGGCGTGGCTAGTATATCTGGTCTTCCAGGCTTAACGAATCAGGCTTCTTACTCATAACAGCGCCTACCACCGCCGCGAAGCCTCGTCCACCAATGTCTCCGGACGTTTGCGCAACACTGGGAGGAGCTCTCCGAGTACGAACAACACTACATTCCATCGCTACCAATATCGCTGAAAGAAGCGCTACTGAGCTATCTCACACTATACGGGCAGAAGGGTTTGGACTTCAAGTCGCTCAAGATTCTGTTCCAGGATGAAGAGGGGACTGGCACAGCTGGTTGGGACGAAGTCCAATTCCTCGACCTCAGCGGACTGTTGAGCGAACACTTCAAGATTACCGATCTTGGAAAATGCGTCAAGCGTCCCAGTGCCAGTTCCATAACAACAGATCTCGCTTCGCTCCGCGTAACGGACGATGTCGCCGACTCGTGGGAAGAGGAAATACAAGAGAGTCCAGCTGCACCCTTGGTACCAGCAATGAAGCTCCAAACCCCATACTTCAGCAACCTGAGCCGACTTTCCCTTGCGAAACCTGGACAATGGGCTTCATGGCCCGACCTACTTCGTATCTCGCCCAACCTCAACAAGATCACACATCTTTCGCTCGCGCACTGGCCACGGCCCTCGATGACACCCAACGCGAACACCACATCCATGATATCAAAACACACGAGCGTATCACTAGGCGGTTCACACTTCTACTCCGATCTCGACGACGACTGGCACGAAGCTACTAACATCCTCCGCCGCTTCTCAAAAGACACATACTCGCTACAATGGCTCGACCTAGAAGGCTGCAACTGGGTCAAAGCCCTCACGTCGCACCCCGGTCGCACGCCAACAGACATAAACGGAAACACAGAAGAATGGAGCACGCAGAACGGTATTCCAGGCCCAGATTGGAACGATGCGTGGCGGCGCATAACATACATCAACTTCTTCCAAGGTTGGATCCCGAGCGATAACCAGAGTCTGCAGAATATGCCCGCGGGTATCGTGCCCGTGCAATTGCTGCGCTGGCTCAGAGACAACAGGGACAAAGAAGCATGGCGGTTGAATCCAAATGAGACTGGCCATGCGGTCTCGGAATGGGTAAACAGAGAGAAAGTGGCCAGACTGGTTGGAATGGAAATCCAGGGCGTGCGCAAACGAGGAGAAGGATTCTGGTGCCGGATCGATTTCGGATGGGGAGGCTCCGATGAGAAAGCTGTATGAGCGAGGAACTGGACAGATGCTTTGCAGACTAAATCGCTAAGTCCAACGTCGAGACCCGGTGTATGGGAGTTCCAAGGTAACTACCGTGCGACTCGTGCTGGACATGCCCCATACCATTAGTCCGAAGCAGAAATCAGTGGAACAATTCAACACTTTGATTCTCCTGAACCCCTTTTACCCATGATCGATGTGTTTGTTGAGAAACTACTGTACGATACTTCTCGTATCCCCAAGATGAGGCTAATGAAAACCGCATATCCACTTTTTGTACTACCCAACTCGCTAACGCAGGTACGTTAGGTAGGGATATGGATGGGTACGTGCAGCCGTGTAAGCATAGCGCTACTTGATAAGACTTATTGCTTGGTGAGATCATAACTGATAATCGTGATCTTGGAGTGAGCGATACGAAGACTGGAGCTGGGGAGTGCTGATAAAGATAGCTCTACACAGCCAGTGATGCTATTCATAGGCAGCGGAGTAGGCGGTGGATCATTGTACCGATACGAATCTGAACGTGGATACTAATCTTCGCATTCTATGCGAAGCCTTAAGATCGCCCAGCTATATGTGAAGTCGAGCTATTTGTAGCAAGACAAAAACACCGTTCATCAACATTACCAGTCTGGACCTTGACGTCCCGAAGCACAAGACATTCTAGTTTCAGGCACGGTTAGCCCCAGACGTTGTGTTTTGCTTCTCCCGCCTCAGAAACCGTCAGCCCTGCACGGCATCAACGGCAGTGGTGCGCGCGGCTGTTTGCTTTTCCAACCTGAGCGCGGGTGTGCCTAGCCGAGAAACGGGTGCGTTTCGGTTGAAGGTTGTTCCCGGCGGCGGGTATCTGAAACTATGACACGTGAGACTGTAACGTTTTGCGCTGACAAGAGTTGGAGGTCAAGAAGCTGACGCGTACGGATAGCGAGTGACCGAAGATGAATTTGGGGTGTGAAGAGTAATCGCGGGGTTAGTGTAGAAGACTAAGGGTCGGAGGTTTAGTGGGCATTGACAGTGTTGCAAAGCAACATACTTTGCGTTGTTACTTTTGCGCAGCCGTTATTCCAGGGATCCCGTTGGATCGCCATCGAGTACTGTCGTCATGCCTTGGTGCAAGACTCTACGATCGAGAGTGAATCGTAAAGCCGTCGGACCGTTCTTCATGAGATGGAGACATGTTAGTTTGTAAGATAGACGATGGCAAGCTATCCGTATAGTGTAGATGGTGCAGGGTACTGTCAGATCAGCATGCTATTCGTGGGGCTGTCTATTCCTGGAGATCTTGCAGCAGACTCGTATACGCAGCGGTCTTGTCGCTCAATATGAAACATAGCCGCGTCTTGTAGGATGGCAGCTGCCCTTCTCACTCTGCGCGTGGTCGCAAGTCGGAGGAATTGCAATACTCGGATCAATGGCGGGGCATTGCCAGTATACCAAGCCGCGTGGGCGGGGAGGGCGGATCCGAGATAGAGTGTCGATGACGTTGCGATGGATGAGGAAGCTGCGGCTTCATCGTCGCGATAAGAGGCAGTTCGAGACTTCGACCAGTAAGCGTGGCAAGCGCAGAAGCGTGCTGTAGTCGATGAGCTTAGGCAGATAGGTCCCAGAGCAACCGGGAGTTCAGTGCTGCAGCTGCAGCTGTCTGGAAGGCGGCCAGCCAACGATGTTGGAGCGGCAGCAGCTGGACACGATGACGCGGGAGGGCTACGCTCTAAGAGGTAGGACGCGGCGTTTCACCTAGCTCCTTCCGAGCCTGGAGCCAACGCGCGTCAACGCGACAATGAATCGAAGACGGGCCAGAGCAAGCGTTGGGGGAGTGATGGGTGTAACCATCGTAGTGCCACCATGGCAATCTAGAAGGCGATGCATTCTCAGATAGTCTGAAAGAGGCGTTCATCGCCGTTGCCATGCATTCGCGTCGTCGCAGCCAAGGTGGGCGTGGGGACTCGAGGCTGACGAGGAGCGAAGAGGTATACCTGTCATTCCCAGGCTCTCCACCCGGCATGCACGAGAGGCGTGGGAAGTGCGTGAGAGATCGTCCCAGCGTCGTAATTCAACCAGGGTTATCACAGCAAGCGACTCGGTGCGCCAACTGATTCGGAACAAGCTTTGCCGCCATGTTGAGTCGGCCATGGAACATTCGCCGGCGACAGGCACGCTAGCCACTTAGCGCGCCTGCGAACGTGAAACTCGCAGACCCCCTGCTTGGCTTTGGCCCTTTCGAGGTTCTTTCAAAAAGCCCGTGGTATCGCCGCCGCCGCCCATGCACTCAGTAGCCTCGACGTCTTTCACCGTTCTCCATGTCGTTCGTTCCTCCCTCGTGTCCGTGAATTGCGCGTTCCACCTCTCATTTCCTTCTCACGACCGCAACCACTAGCCCCTTCACCCGCGAGGTCAAGACTGCCCGAAGCAGCGAGCCGGCTTTCCCTCTGTACCCCCAAACCCAGCCAGGGCGTCTGCTTTGATAGTATATCTTCCCACCTAGGCCCTATCGAGTTCCACCTGTGCCCGCCGTTTCCACCACCGAGGACGCCCCTCCTCATTATTCGCCTGGCTCTTCAACCGCGCCCGCCACCATGCTTACCTTCAAGAAGGCCCTCGTGCTTTCCCTGGCCTGTCTAACGCTATTCTTCATCTTCAAGTCGCAGCACCACGGTAGCACAACCCCCAACTTCCGCAATGCAAAGGAAATGCCCCGACCCACCGCTTGGGTGAACCCGGCAGACAGAGAACGCACAAAGGCCAAGGAGCAGCAGTCGAAAGAGGCGCAAAAGGCAACCGAAAAGGCAGACAAGACCTTTGACACTCCCGATGCGCCCGCGCCCAAGAAGCCCAAAACCCAGATCAGCATGGACGAGCTGAGAGAGCGCCCGCTCAAGGACCAGCTCGAGTACCAGTTCCCCTACGACGTCGACGCGAAGACTCCCGCATACATCTGGCAGACGTGGAAGTACACACCGGCGCAGGGTCAGTTTGACGAGATGTTCCGCGAGCCAGAGGCCAGCTGGAGCATCCACCACCCGTCCTTCGTTCACGAGGTTATCACCGACGATGTCGCGGTACACCTGATCAGACACCTCTACTCCTCCGTGCCCGAGGTTATCGAAGCCTACAACGCCCTCCCCGTGCCTGTCCTCAAAGCCGACTTCTTCCGCTATCTGATTCTTCTCGCTCGTGGCGGCATCTACTCGGATATTGACACTTCGGCACTGAAGCCTGCGTCGGACTGGATACCCTCTGATGTGCCTGCAAATAGCTACGGAATGGTCATTGGTATTGAGGCTGACCCAGATCGTCCAGACTGGGCTCAGTGGTACTCTCGTCGCGTTCAGTTCTGCCAGTGGACCATCCAGTCGAAACCCGGCCACCCTGTCCTTGTAGATGTTGTCGCAAACATCACACAGGAGACACTCGACCGCAAGCGCGCCGGTAAACTCAGCAAGGACTACAAGGGCATAATTGAGTTCACTGGGCCCGCCGTCTGGACCGACACCATCTTCAACTACTTCAACAACCCCGACTACTTTGACATGAGCACGAGCAAGGGCAACATTACATGGGAAAACTTCACTGGCATGAAGGCGCCCAAGAAGGTTGGCGACGTCATTGTGCTGCCTATCACCAGTTTCAGCCCCGGCATTAAGACCATGGGCGCTGGCGAGGATGACGACCCAATGGCTTTTGTCAAGCACAATTTCGAAGGTACGTGATAATCTTTTCTTATCGCCCCTTGTGAGTGCCGTGCTACGCTGCACGGTACCACGCGGAACGATACGTCGGGCCGCAAGCATCCTTCCATTACACCCGTTTCGAGTCCCTGGTTCCCTCAATACTAACTAGTAACAGGCACCTGGAAACCCGAAAGCGAGCGTCACATTGGCGAGACCTTCAGCTGAACGAATCACCAACGCGAATCGCCTGTACCGATCTCTCCCACTACACAATCGTATACGCATATAGTGCATATTATACCGGGTCGGGAAAGGAATGGACGGCAGAAGGCGACGCGACAGGCCGGATGATACCGTGTCGGGTCGCGCACGAGGCACCACATCCTCGGAGGTTTACAAGCCACCGGCTTGCGTACACTCTCTGCAGCGAGCTGCAGCTGGGGCGTCGGTATCGCAACCTATCTGCCACCTCGATGTTGGCAAGGAAAGTGGCGAGAACATGGGCATGGAAAACTTGTTGGGTAGGGCCAACACTTCAATATCGGCTTCAAGCGCTGAAGTACGAAAAGTTTCTGTTTTGACGTTTCACCGGCTGCATTACTACTCGGCGTGCGACAGCGTTTCTTCCTCTTTATTAAGCGAGAGGCGTTCAGAGGGGACCATTTCAGCAGCACTACCTATTATACATATTGCAATACGAACTAAGATCAAGTACCCTTTCAAATCATCCATGCATTAATTCGTCATATCGTAGCGTCTATCGGGCGCTTTCCACTATCGTACACATATCACCAAGAAAAAACAAGACATAGGAAAACATCCACGGGGTATCACTTCCAAACCAGCAACATCCACACCCATCACCGCCCTTGAGCATCACCGTCTCTCACTCCCAAGCAACCCTCCGACTTTCCCTATCATACTCAGTACACTCCCACCCAATGTCGGCCTCCTCTCCACCTCCTTCTCTTTGGCATACCTCCTCTTATACTCCCTCTCCGTCTCCGGATCCAGCTCCCCATAATGCTGATCATGATGTCTATGATGCTCGTCCTCGTACTTGTCCTCTCCGTCCGCATACGCATGCGCGTTGTGTGCGTGCGTGCTGTGGTGCGAGTAGTGGCTTTGCTGCGATGAGGAGCGCGCGTAGATGGGTGGTGCTTGCGGCGCGTAGGTGACGGGTGGTGGGTATGAGGCGTGGGCTAATTGAGAGGGATGCTGGTATTGGTAGGAGTGTGGGTCTGGTTGGCGGATTGGAATTGCTTGGGAGGGCGTGGGTTGGAGGTGCGTGGGGCGTTGGCTGTTGTAGGAGGAGGAGGAGGAGGTGCGGCGGTG